GCCAGGAATTTATTTTTAGCTCCTCTATAAGGTAATATCATTATAATCACAGTGAAAACTGGCAACAAGCTGCAGAAACAATTGAAAAGCTGAGCAGACTTGAGACTCCATCAAAGGACAGATGATGCCAGCCCAAGAGTAACCAAGACAGGTCACTGAGAAGAGACAATACTGATGCCTGGAAGGCCCCGTAGCTGTTGTCTTCACACTCTCTCATCTATTCTAAAAACATTCACCTGAAATCCTTAACCAGCATGGAACTCTTCCTCCCAGACCAGAAGCATCAAGGTGAATATGCCTGCCACACAGTGCTCCTATGAGTTATGAATGCAGGGCTGGAGGTGGCTCAGGTCCATAGTCAGAATGATAATAATATACATATGCATACATACATGCACAAATATATGTGTAACTATAATCAGCAGTGTCCACAAACCATAGCAGTCAAATGTTAAGAAAACAAAGATTATTAGAAATTAAGATTATATGGGCTGGAGAGATGGCTCAACTGTTAAGAGCACTGACTACTCTTCCAAAGATCCTGAGATCAATTCCCAGTAACCACATGGTGGCTCAAAAAGATCTGTAATAGGATCTGATGTCCTCTTCTGGTCTGTCTGACGACAGTGACAGTGCACTCAAATATACTGTGCACGCCAGTCAGAAGCTGGAACGCTTGCATCCCAAGCAAGAAATTAATCAAAAACACAAGGAGCACTCACTATTTAAAATAAATAAATCTTTTTTTAAAAAAAAGAAAGAAAGAAAGAAAGAAAGAAAGAAGGAAGGAAGAAAGGAAAGAGAAAGAAAAAAATTAAGATTATTAAGATTGTTAGAAAAATCAACTGAAATGTCCCCGATGCTATTTTCCTTTGACACTGAACCTGGGCAGACTATGACAGTCAGTAGGATAGTCAGTATCAAATTTCTTCAGAAGCATTCAGCTCACTAGAACAGGTAAGGAAGCATTAATGTTTTCCTGGGAGGCACTGTACAACCTGGTGGAAATGGCTCCTCCTAGATCCATGAAGTCTCTGAGAAAGTTATCAGTGTACAGGGAGGCAACAGGGTAGATGATTTTTTTTAAGACTTATTTATTTATTATGTATACAGCGTCCTGCCTTCATGTATCTTGCAGGTCAGAAAAGGGCAACCAGATCTCATTATAGATGGTTGTGAGCCACCATGTGAGTGCTGGGAATTGAACTCAGGACCTCCGGGAGAACACTGTGCTCTTAACCTCTGAGCCATCTCTCCAGCAATTAAGATTTATTTATTTTATGTATCTAAGTACATTGTTGCTATCTCATACATACCAGAAGAGGGCATCAGATCCCACTACTGCTGGAGAGATGGCTCAATGGTTAAGAGCACTGACTGTTCTTCCAAAGGTCCTGAGTTCAATTCCCAGCAACCACATGGTAGCTCACAACCATCTGTAATTGGATCAGATGTCCTCTCCTGGTATGTCTGAAGACAGCTACATATTATAAATAATAATAAATAACTTTTTTTTAAAATCTGTGTTCTCAATTTAACAGTAGAACAAAAACAACAAAAAGACATTTCCATGAGATTAGCATTTGTAGGACAGGAAGTTACCTAATTCTTAAAACATCCTTTAAAATGCTTTAACCAAAAAATATTGGAATTCTGTTTTTTTTGTTTGTTTTGTTTTTTGTTTGTTTGTTTGTTTTTTGAGGCAGGGTTTCTCTGTGTAGCCCTGGCTGTCCTGGAACTCACTCTGTAGACCAGGCTAGCCTTGAACTCAGAAATCTGCCTGCCTCTGCCTCCCAAGTGCTGGGATTAAAGGCGTCCACCACCACTGCCCGGCTGGAACTCTGGTTTTAAAGGGAGGACTTCTGTAAGATGAATATTACACGAGGATTTATAAGAATCAGATAATGAGAGTCAAGGATTATTCTTCCATTGAGAGAAAGACAAGAAACAGAAGGCTTTTAGAGACTGACCAAATCATTCAGTGAATTGAATAGTATATAAGTTTTCTTGGTTAGTTTCTGGTCAACTTGAAACAACCTAGAGTCATCTGGGAAAAGAGAACTTCAGCTGAGAAAATTCTCCCGCCAGATTGGGCTATAGAAACATTTTCTTGATTAAAATGATTCATATAGGGGGGCCCAGCCCACCGTGGGCGGTGCTGCCTCTAGGCCAGGTTCTGGGTTGTATGAGAAAGCAGAATGAACACCAAATCTCCCCACCCAGGCAGATTCTGTACATGCTTCTCCAGGGTCTAATGCAGTGACTCTACCTGACCCTTCCAAACCCTCCAGATCCAGCCCAGGTCCCACATCTAGTGCCCTAACTCAGTCTGGCCTCACCTGTTCTTACCACAATCAATCTCTAGGACAGGCCCCTCCCGGGCAGATTGACCTCCACAGGCAGGGTCTGGCCCAGGATGCTCATCCATGTCTCCAGCTTAACCCAGTCCCCTCTAGCTACCTGCTCTTATTCTATCTAAGCCGTTTCCAATCTCTAAGCCAACCACCCCACACATTCTGTGTCCCAACCTTCTCTGTCCACATCAGAGAACCAACAAGAAGTCCACAGGCCCAGATTTCATCAAAAAAAATTACAAACATGAAAGATCATGTTTCTCTCACCTCCTCTGCAACCTATAAATGTCTACAAATACTTCTATATTTTCAATTTCTACAAGTAGAAATATCTGCCAATGAGAAGTACTTAGATGAACTTCAGAACACAGAATTATAAAGAACAATCATAAACCCCATCAAAGGACTCAAAGAGTTTAAAGATGACATAAAGAAATAGCTCAGTGAAATTAAGAAGAACTTAAGGAGAATAAATGTCCATAAGCCAGGCAGTGGTGGCGCACGCCTTTAATCCCAGCACTTGGGAGGCACAGGCAGGAGGATTTCTGAGTTCGAGGCCAGCCTGGTCTACAGAGTGAGTTCCAGGACAGCCCAGGCTATACAGAGAAACCCTGTCTCGAAAAAAAAAAAAAAAAGTCCAAGTGTTGACTAAGAAAACACAAATAAAAGGCTGACAGAAATGGCACAGAAAATTCAGGAACCTAGCAACAGCAACCTAGCAACAGCTTATGTCATTGCCTGTGGCCAGGTGTGAGTCAGTAAAAGGGATTTACTCCAGCTCTCTCTCCATCTCCTTTCAGGACTTGAGAACAGAATTCAATAGAGATAGAAACACTGAAGAGGACTCATGCTGAAATGAAGACGGAATTAAAAACATGGAAACTCAACTAGAAAACTCAAAGGAAAGTCTTGCAGGCAGAAGAAAAGGTAAAAGATATGAACCAAATAAGCAAAGAATATTTAAAAAAAAAATTAGAATCACAGGAAAGGAGCATTCAGGAAGTTTGAGAATTACTTAGATGAACTCCAAAACACAGAATTAAAAAGAACGATCATAAACTCCATCAAAGGACGCAAAGAGTTTAAAGATGACATAAAGAAATAGCTCAATGAAATTAAGAAGAACTTAAGGAGTATAAATGCCTGAGTGTTGCCCAAGAAAACACAAATAAACTCCAGAACCAAAACCAGCCTTCAAATTATAGGCATAGATGAGGAATCAGAATCCCAACTCAATGGCATAGACTAGTCGTTGTGTTTTATAATGCAGTATAATGTGGGAAGGGGGGTGCTGGGGGAAACTTCAGCGGGTCCATGTTGAGGTGTCCCCCTAAATACAATACACTTTGGAAACACAGCCCAGAGGCTGCTAAGCTGGAACTGATCTGAAAGCCTCCTCCCTGAGGACTAGCTTTCATGACATCAGAAGGTGCCATGCAAGCTTCCAAAGAAGGGAAACAAACAGCAGGCCCGCTCAACTAAGATGCCCAGGAACCACAACAGCCAGCATAGCATGATAACTCTACAGGTGGTACATATACCTGGTCAGTAACCAACAGCTCTCTAGTTGTACTTAAGACCCACTCAAGAAGAAGGAAACCAAGCTTTGTCCCAGAAACCTAGCCAAGTACCCAGGGCTAGAGAGTCATGGGTCATGGAGGAAAACCTATTGTCAAGGGCTGGGCTTGATGATCCAAGGCTTTCCTGAGACCCTGGTTTATGGAGATGGAAAACAGCTCCTTCTCTGAAACCAGGAACATTAGGGGTAGAGCTGGGGTAAGGGCCCGTGAGGGAGCTTTGGCTTCTGATCTTGAATCCAACTCTTCCCACAATATGGGGCTATGGTTATAAGGCTGCTGTGTGCTCTGTCTGTAATGCTCTTGAGATGCCTATGTTCCCCTGTGCAACACTGTTTGCTAAGCTTCTTGATGACTTTGTCCCATTGTATGATAGTTTCTGCTGATTTTGACCATTTTTTTTTGTTTTTCAGGGTTTTTTTTTTTTTGCTTTTGTTTTTGTTTTTTACCCCAGAAAGTAGTATATAATAAGATACTGTACTTACTATTAAGCTTGCTTGTAAGAGCCATGAGCCTATTCAAGACCTCCTTATCCTAAACTTTCCTATCTTCTTTATCTTCTCATCTCCTGGCCACCTCCCACTTAGGACCCTGTCATTGAAGAACAACCTGCTGGTCTAGCTCAACCTACAACCACCACTTATTATTAAACCAGCATAATTCCTAACTACATTTTTGATATTTGTTTTTATACACACAGGTAAGTGTAGTCCTCACCCCTCATCAATGAAACCTCTTTTTATAACAAACGGGGGCCATTACAAAAAACTACAGCCAACAAAAATGCAGAAACTGTATTTTTATGTAAAACAATTTGGTTGCAATAACAATTTCTAGAAATACCAGGCTTATTCAAATTTAAGTGAAGAGCAAGGTTTTGTTTAAAATAACCTATTTGCTTTTTATTTCTTGGACTATATTACCTATCAGTTGTTTTCAAACTTCAATGGTGAAATAAACCTTTGTGTGTGTGTGTGTGTGTGTGTGTGTGTGTGTGTGTGTGTGTGTGTGTTAATGCAGAAGTTGGCTCCATTTTGTCCCTAGAAAGCCATAAGTAGCATGTACTCACCCGCTCCTGGCCAGCGGTGTCCCAGATGAGGAATTTGTGAAGTTCATTTCCACAAGGCACTGTTTTGGTCATGAAAGACGCCCTGAAAAGAGAGTCAACCAAGCTGCATAATCAAAACTCCACAGAGACTTAGGAGTCTCAGTTCCTGTTATTATGCCTTGAAATGACCCTAAGAATCCCTCAACAAGCAGTAATGAGAGTTAAGCCACTGCAGATAAGAATGTGTGTCTGATGCTGTCCTGTTCCTCAATTTGTTCTTGATCTGTTAGTAAAGAAGTCATGGGCCAATTGCTGGGTGAAAGGAATAGGAGGGACTTCCGGGTCCCTGGAGGAAAAGAGACAGACACAAAGGGAGGAGAGGAGAGCTTGCCATGCTTCAGAGAGAGAAAAGCCAAGCAGTCATGTGAGATCTTGGGAGGAGCGGCAGCCTGTGGCCACTCCTACAGGTGGATGGTCAGGGATGTTTAGCAGGAATTAGATGTAACTGAGCAACTAAAGTTTAGGGCAGGTGGAGAGGTGCAGAGATAAGAATATTGATAAGGGCACAGTTTTCCAGGCAGGCAATAGTAGCACCCAGCAATTGTGTCTGAAGACAAGTTGAAAATGAGCAACCTGTGTGTGTGTCTTTTATCTGTGGATTCACGGGAAGCTGAGTGGAGGCTAGGCTAGTAGAGTGTGGCTAAGGCAGGATAGTGGAAGCTTCATGCAACATGTGTGGACTGCAGAGATGGTTCAGAGGTTAAGAGCACTGAGTGCCCTTGCAGAGGAACTAAGTTTGGTTCCCATCATTCACATGGTAGCTCACAGCCATCTGTAACTTCAGTTCTAGGGGATCCAATACCTTCTTCTGACTTCCTCAGGCACTGCACACATGTGTTATGCATAGGTACATGTAAACAAAACACTCAAACCCATAAAATTAATAAATATAATAAAATAAGATACATGCAGAAACAGATTCAATCATCCTGGAATAATATTCTCTGGATATCAGGGAAATGTTGGATGTCTAGCCTTAGCTATTAAAGCCTTATTATTAAAACAAATATCAGGGAAAAAAAGCCTCATCACTTTAAGACTTTGACTTTAAAACAGTATAAAAAGAAAGCTGTCTTAACATATTCCCTGTGCTGACATTCAATATTAGCAGCAAATCATGGAGGAATAGATCTAAGTCTCAACCTATTTGCATACATGTTGGGATTATCTCAGTTAAGGTTTGCATTGCTATGATGAAACATCCTAACCAAAGCAAGGCTTTACTGGCTTACATTTCCACATCACTGTACATCATCAAAGGAAACCAGGACAGGAATTCAAACAGGACAGGAACCTGGAGGCAGGAACTGATGCAGAGGCCATGGAGGGGTGCTGTTTACTGGCTTGCTCCCCATGGCTTGCTCAGTCTACTTTCTTATAGAACCCAGGACCACTGGTACAGAGATAGCACCACTCACAATGGGCTTGGCCCTCCCACATCCATCACTAATTAAGAAAATGCCCTACAGTCTTGCCTACAGTCCTATCTTATGGAGCAATGTTCTCGATTGAGGTTCTCTCCTCTGAGATGATTTTAGCATGTGTCAAGTTGACACAGAACTATCCAGCAGAGGGATAAATAACAAACACATGGATGCTTCTATCACAATGGAAGGACTTCAAGGCATTAGAAAATAAAAAACTTGGTTTTTCCCTTTTTTTTTTTTTTACCTATTTTCTCCAAATAAGCATTTATTTTCTTTGTGCTCATAAAGGAGTAAAAACCAAATACACAGAACATTTAATAAACTTTCTTCTATAGGTTAAAGTATCTCATTCATAAAAAAAAAAAACAAAACAAAAAAACAGGGGACTGGAGAGATGACTCAGTGGTTAGAGCAGTAACTGTTCTGCCAGAGGTCCTGAGTTCAATTCCCAGCAACCACATGGTGGCTCAGAATATCATCTGTAATGGGATTTGATGCTCTCTTCTGGTGTGTCTGAACACAGCTACAGTGTACTCATATATATATAATAAATACATTTTTAAAACACACAAAAAATGCACTGTGAATCTTGCAAGTTTCAGGAGTATCCTGGGTCCTCTGAGTTTAGTTTACTTCCTGAGACGTCTGGGTTTCCCTTCCTTTCTGGGTCACATGAACCTCCCTCCTGCTTCCAAGAGGGATGTTTGAAATTGAGTGAACCATATCTGATCAGCAGAGTGTAATGAGAACAGGAACGAGATGTTGTTTTCTACCAATTGTAAAGGGAAATTCTGAAAGATGGCTAGAGAAAAGGCCTTCTCACATAACACATGTACAGTTTGAATAACCTGCATTTGGCATATGTATCAAAGTGGAGCCTACTCAATTTTTAAGAATTAAGGCTAAAGCTGCACATGGTGGCACATACCTGTGATACTAGCATTCAAGGGGTTAAGGCAGGAGGAGTGACAACAGGGGGAGTTCAAAGCTATCCTGGGTTACATAGGACAACTGGCTTAGACAAAAGTAAATAAATTAAAATTAAAAAATATATAAGGTTAAGGGGGCAGGGAGTTGTAGCTCAGTGGGAGAGCAGGTGTTTAACAATTACATTTGAGACCTTGGATTCAACCTCAGCAGTCACTCCATAAATGAAAGAAAGAAAGAAAGAAAGAAAGAAAGAAAGAAAGAAAGAAAGAAAGAGAGAGAGAGAAAGAAAGAAAGAAAATAAAAAAGAGAATAAGCCTTTACAAACAGTTATACAAAGACATAGCATCCACCATGGAATGCTGAATAGACTCATAACACAGTGTGTGCCACCAAGCCTGAAACCCTGAGTTTGACCCTCAGGACCCATAGGATGGAAGGAGAGAATCAACTCCTTCAAATTGTCCTCTGACTTCCACAGGTGCGTTATACCACATGTGCAAACATCACCCTCCCCTGATAAATACTCTTTTTTTTTTTTTTTGGTTTTTCAAGACAGGGTTTCTCTGTACAGCTCTGGCTGTCCTGGAACTCACTCTGTAGACCAGGCTGGCCTCGAACTCAGAAATCCACCTGCCTCTGCCTCCCAAGTGCTGTCCTAAGTGCTGGGATTAAAGGCGTGCGCCACCACCGCCCGGCAGATAAATACTCTTTTGAAATATAATAAAACAAGTTTCACAAGATAACAACTGCTGTGGAGAAGAGACACCTACTCACAAAGCTGTTACATATATGATCATGTGTGCAGGCTGTGCAGGAAGCTCTAGGGATGCAGCTTTCATGCCTGGACACAGCCAATGGCATAGCTGCCTTTGAATCACTGTGCTTTATAATCTGTCAGTCACTGAGGTGACGTGGGTTAATGCTTCTGATGAGAAATGATGTCCTTTTACAACTGTGATTCTGATAGGAAGAAGTGGGTAGGCTTTGAGAACAGACTAGCTTGGTTTGTCATTTGCCTATCTGGTTGGTTTCGGCGATATAAATCCATGCTATATAAATAGCACTATATTACTGAGGCCACATGTTCAACTCTGCCAAGCTTGATCTAAGTCAAGTTTGCAGCTCTGTGGCTACCTGTGTGCTCTGACCTGGGGAAACCATCACAACTAACTCTTGGATCAGGGACTTAAATTGAAATGTCCATAGGGTCAGGCAGATAAGACAATCCAGCAAGCACATAGGTGTGCCTTATCTGTCCAGGCATGAAAGCTGCATCCCTAGACTTCCCACATAGCTTATAAATAACTGTAATAATAAGTCATCAGATATCCTGAAGCTTGAATTCTGTTACCCCATAGCATGTACCCGGCTGGCTGGCTAAGCAGGTGGCCACACCCACTCTGTTCTACATCCACGGATATCTCAATTCTCCAATACTGGCTACGGTGGAAAGACATCTAAGGGGGTAGTCGGACACATCTCTGGGTGTGTCTACAAGGTAATTTCCAGGAACTATTAGATCATGAGGGTTCTGACTTGATGAATCGATTAATCCTTTGAAGCGTTTATCATATGATGGCATTATTGAAAAGTAGGAAGAGGGTCTAGGTAGAGGAAGTGAGTCACAAAGGGAGTGTGATGCTCTATCTTGTCCTAGCCTCTTCCTGTCTTTTGTTTTTCCCTGTTTCTTGATCCCTACAAGGCTCACTTCCACTATATGCTCCTGCTACCATGGTGTTCTGTCCGAACATATAAAGCCAAGCAGCCATGGACTGATCCCTCTGCAACTGTAAACAAAATAAACTCTTCCTTTTTTATGTTACCTTGTATTTGCTTACTGCATAGGGAAAGTAACTGATATATTGGCTTAAATTTTGAAAGCACCATAAAGGCTAAACAAAACAAACCCTCAGGCCAGGTTTCTAGATCACTGAGTTAACAAGCTTTGGGATAGGTAATCAATCAGGCTTTTGAAAATTAAGATTTCTACTTGTATCATTTTCCAATAAGTCTATGTTTTACTTTAGGAAGTGTTCCTAATAGCCTTATTCTTTTTTTCTGAAACAGGATCTTAGAAACATCTCCAAGTTCCAAAAGAGAAAATGTGAGTGCAAGTTAACTATATCAGGAAAAGCCTTAGGTATTCTTAAGCCCATAAGAGAGCTGAGTCTTCCTGACACCAGAAGACAATGAGGAGCAAAGCAGGCAGTAAATAGAGAAGCTCCCATAATGCACTGCAGCTCCCATAAGGCATTGCCACCATCAGAAACTGTTGTCACAGCAAACATAAGCTATGGGGAATGCTCAGCATTATATTATTTCAGAAATGGAAAAGTAATTCATTCCACATAAGTTTTAGACTTCCCCAATGTGCAGTGGACAACTTTTCTGGGAATTGAACCAGACAAACTAGCCACCCATAAGGAACTGATAATGCACACTATCTCCCTCCCATCTAGAAATAAGGAAACCTGCTTTTCAGATCCATGGTCTTGATAGTCAAGAAATGTCTTGTCCTTCAAGAGGAAGTTGCAAGAACCAAAAATCACAAGAATAACAGCCCTAAATTTCTGGAGTTAGGATTAGTTCTCATTGGTGGGGTTGGAAATATTTGCCCTAAAAAGAAGGAATGTCAAAAAAAAAAAAGAAAAAGAAAAGAAAAAGAAACATGCTGGCACTTACCCAATGGTGGGGCTGATGTTGTGGTCAAAGTGGTCCTGGACAAACCGACACACAATGCTTGATTTCCCAACCCCTGTGTCCTAGAAGAGAATGAAGGCATAGTCATGTTCTATGAACATGAAACAAGAGGACATGGTGACAGAATTGCAGGAACAGGAGAGGAAGCCTTCTATTCCCTACTAGAATGTTCTATGAGGTAAATGTACTCTTTTCATAGAACGAAAATAAATATGGTAAAAGCAAGTTTGGAAATATATCTCACATGCATACAGAAAATTAGCATGTTCATAATATATTTGATTCCAGAGTTGGAGAACCAAAGGTTATAGAGAAGATGTGTCACATCCTGTCATATTGTTTGTTAGAGAGAGAACTGCTGCTTTTTGAAGTGACATTTTCAGGTTAACTCATCTGCCTCTAGGGAACACACTGAAAGACCTCTAAATTCCCACATCTCCAATGTCCGTTAGAGTTTAATGGCTGATATTAAGCTGAATTCTATAAAGGTCTCATCTCAGATCTTTCTTTTCTTTTTTTGGTTTTTTTGTTTGTTTGTTTTTCAGATTTTTCTTGACTAAACAGTTCTTTTTTTTGGGGGGGGGGGGTTCAAGACAGGGTTTCTCTGTGTATCACTGGCTGTCCTGGAACTCATTCTGTAGACCATGCTGGCCTCCAACTCAGAAATCCACCTGTCTCTGCCTCCCAAGTGCTTGGATTAAAGGCATGCACCACCACTGCCCAATGACTAAACAATTCTTTAGAGCTGGACAAGGGAGGGATCTCTTACATAACAGAGATCAAACACAGACATGTATCTCTACTTCCTTTCTAAACCCTTACAAAGTGGTTTTGGAAACAACAGGCACAATTCCACAAGGTCAAAGAGAGACATCCCAGACAGATGATACCAACAGCATCTGGAGAGACAAACTGTGCCTGAGAAAGAGCCCAAAACTCAGCAGGCAGTAAGACAGTCCATGCCTGAGACTCAGGAATCAGCATAAGGCACATCCAGGAAGCAAGGAATGATGTAAGCTTAGACAGAAATAGCAGGAGCTCCCTCTGAGTGAGCAGATGGGGAACCCACATACAGAGATACCAGGGTCTTCCAATTAAAGAGCATCATGTGCTCAAACTAACAACCAGAGCTTTCAACCAACAATGGACCGAACCTTTGAAACTATGAGACAAAATAAACCCCTCATGCTTTGTTACGGGGATGTTTCCATAGAAACAAAAAGCTGAGTGACCCAGATACTTAAGAGTTGTGTATGGTTCTCTCATTTATTTATTTATTTATTTATTTATTTATTTATTTATTATTTTATTATTATTATTAATTTTTTTTGGTTTTTCAAGACAGTATTTCTCTGTACAGCCCTGGCTGTCCTGGAATTCACTCTTGTAGACCAGGCTGGCCTTGAACTCAGAAATCCGCCTGTCTCTGCCTCCCAAGTGCTGGGATTAAAGGTGTGCGCCACCACTACCCGGCCATTCATTTATTATGAGAGTGTTTCTAGCACTAGCCTCAAGCTCCCTATAGATTAGAATAACCTTGAACTGATCACTCTACTTCCACATCTCAAGCGCTGGGATTACAGGGTGATGTACCACCAAGCCTGGCTTATACCTCGCTAGGAATCAAACCCAGAAAGGGCTTCATGCACTTCACCCACTCTGCTACCAACCGAGTTACATTCCCAACCCCTAAAGGTGTGATTTTTTAAAAGCCCAAAGTTTGAGGCTGATGAGATGGCTACTTGCTACTCTTGCAGAAGATCCAGGTTCAGTTCAAGCACCAATGCAACAGCCCACAAACATCTGTGATTCCAGTTCCAGGGGATTCAATATCCCCTTCTGGTTTCTACAGGTAATCACAAACATGTGGTGCACAGAAAATACATTTGGACAAAATACATATACAATGTTTTTTGAAAGATTCTTGTCGAGAGGCTGATGGACTGGCTTAGAAAACAGGTACATGAAGACAGATGAACAGAGTTCAATCCCCAGAACACACATGGTAGAAGTTGCCCTCTGACAGATGAGTAGCTTGTTACTCTAGCTCACCAGAAAAGCTGGCATTTCACCTGGGCCATATGTTGAAAGCAAGGACTAGAGTTAATAATCATAAAACAGCTTAGTGCTTTCACCATGAAGGGTATTTCAAGGGCTGGCCTTCAGGCAGGCACTGCTCAGCTGATCCGTGGAATGGAGTTAGAGCAGAGCTCCCCGCCCCCACCCCCACCCCCACCCCCACCCCCACCCCCACGAATGCATGATATGCCCCAGGTGAGCATAACATCTGAGAGGAAGCAGCATCTGTCATGGCTGGTGCATGGCAGGGTCAGAGACACCACAATACCCTGAGAACCTGGTCAGAGAGCCCAAAGAACAAAGAAGTGCAAAAAAGTGCATAGTTCTCAGACCAAGAGAACTAAGGGCATCTATCTCCAAGCAGCAGTTTTAGGGTGATCCTGGGTGTGACCTAAAAACATGTGAGGAAGAAGAGTCTGCTTCAGAGCCCTGGGTGCTTGGGTTGGACATGGGTGGGGACCTCTGAGTGCTCAGACCCTCTCTGCTGTGTCTGGGAATCCTGCAGGCTAGGAAGGGTAGCCTACACCTCCCTCCAACAGAGTCTGCAAACCACAGAAGTAGCTAATAACCATTACCGGTGGTGTCTAGGCTATGGTCGGTACAGAGAAGGCAAGGTTTGGGAGATGTTTATTGCTTGAGCGAAGAATGAAGAAACAATGGAAGACACCTGAGAAAGAATTCTTAAACCACGGACCATGATGTAAAGTAGAAGAACGGGGCGTGGGTACAGACAGGATGAGGCTCTCATTCTGCCCATGCTGCAGCTTCTAGGACACAGTTCCTACTTGGAGAAATGCTTGCAGCATGGGGCGTTTCCAGTGCCTTCCTGGGCAGGGCAGAGCAGGGCATCGCAGGTGGGTAGTTTCCATACCCCTGGGGGTGGCATGGTTGAAGAAGTTCATCCATAGGAAGGGCTTAAAGCAGCTGAGGAGGGATAAATGATCTGTCCCTGGGAGGGTGGTGAGGGACCCAGGCCAGAGTCCATGAGTGCAGGTTCTCTCTGGCTGGAGCAAGCTCCTTCTCCCCTCCCCCCTCCCCTTCCCCCCCACCCCCCACGCCCCCCCGCCCCACCCCCGCTTCATTCTGCCCTCACTCACAAGTTTTTAAGTAACACCTGGGCTTATCCAACTCAGTACCCTAAAACTGCCAATTAGAAATGCTCATAGATTTCTGGGCGTGGTGACATACACTACTTTTAATTCCAGCATTGGGGAGGGGAGAAGGGGAGAGGCAGATGCAGGCGCATCTCTGTGAGTTCAAGGCCTGGTATACAAAGTGGGTTCCTGGACAGCCAGGGCTATTACATAGAAAAACTCTGTTTCAAAACAAACAAACAAACAATAACAAAACAAATGAACAAAAAATAGGGAAGAAGAAGAGGAGGAGGAGGAAGAGGAGGAGGAGGAGGAGAAAGGCCCACAGTTCTTCTGGCCTGAGGCCTTCCCTGAATTGAAAGTTACAATTATTAACTCCACTCCTTGCCTTCTACAAATGGCCCAGGAAAAAGATAGCTTTTCTAGTGAGCTAAAGTAGGAAGCCCATTTAAATGTAGTTGGATGCTTGTCAAACCTACAGTTTGTCTTTTCTTACTTTCGCAGCTTGATCCAATATGTACCTCTTATACATTTCATAGGAAAGATGTAACAAAATATATTAATTTTAAATTGGCCAGAAAATAGAGCATTTGATAAAGAATGGGGCTAAGAAATCTGACTGGTGACAGGTCAGGCTCCCAGAACTCAGCTTTGAGAAGTTGTAGTTTCGCTGATGACCACACAGGGAAGACTTGCTTACCTACTGGCTAGAGAGTCCAGAGGGCCTTCCTTTTCCTGCCAGGACCTGACTGGGATGGATACACAGTAACTGGACCGTGACCCGAATTCAAGGAGACAAGGCCAGTGAGTCATGACCCAGGCACGACAACAGAAGTAGAAAGCAAGAAAGAACAAAGCCAAAGCCAACTGTTTTTTTTTTTTTTAAATCTATTAAAAAAGACAGAATCCCAGCACTCAGACAGAGGCAGGAGTGTCTCTGAGTTAGTCCAGCCCGGTCTACAGAGCGGGTCCCAGGACAGCCAGGGCTACACAGAGAAATCCTGTTTAAGAAAACAACTCAAAAGACAGAGAGAAGAAGCCCTGGCTGCTAATGGAAACTTATCTATGAATAGTTCTTCCATTCCGTATTTTGAGACTACCACAGCCCATTTTGTCTAATCCTCCGATTTTACAAAAGCAGAAGCTGGTATGACTTCCTTAGGGTCACGCAGCTAGCTGGTTGGGAAAGTCAGAAGCACGTGTTCTGAGTCCCTGTCCAATCTTCTCTAAGGCTCCTATCAGGTTAAATCCATCTCCCAGCCAAGCACAGATTTCTTTACAAGGAGAAAAGAAAGTTAAGTTGTCAGGACCTCACAAGTACACAGATCACCCCTTTCTGGTTTCACATGGCAGGCTCCAGTTACTCAAGTGTCGTGAAGACAATGCTACTGTTTTGACAGTGATGAATGGAGACCCAGTCCCTACTGCTGGAGAAGCAACAGAATAAAACCAAAGCTGACTTCACAAGCCAGGGGGAAAGTTGAGGAGAATCTACCCCAGGTGAGATTTTGGTGCATAGCAGACGAATAGCTGATCCCCATCTACATACTGGGGGTCTTCCTACGACACAACTGGAAAGCCCCACCATTTACAAGTTCATCATACTCCTGTGCACTCTTCAAATGCAAGAAACACTGCACTTCAAATGTTTTAGAAATATTTGTAGGTAGGAATAAGAAAGCTAACAAGAGACTGACGAAAGCATTTGAATTAACTCTCCTCTTAAGCAAAGTAAATTATATTCATAAGTCAGGAGTTCCAGTTCTAAGAATGGAGTTAAAATTAGTTTTAAAATAGGCACAAGTTCATTGCAGTACAGTTTATAAATGAGATGTGACTTAAGTAAATTTAATTATAAATCAAATAAACTGTAGCATAACCAATAATGT